TAATGAAATCATAACCGCCCATTAAGTGAAAATTGTTCCTGGGTCAATTTTACCATAATGCGGGCTTATTTTTTAAGCTATGGTTATTAATTATTAAATGGAAACTGCGCCAAAATTTTTAACAAAACTTTTGATCGAGATATCTCGGCACCCACTCGACCAAAAATTTTTATTCGAATTCTACAGATCTGTAGAATTCGAATAAAATAATTTTCATCGAATTTAGTCAAGTGGCCGCTGAGATACCTTCAATCGAGGTTTGAGAATTTTAAAACGTCTATCAGATAGAAACCGTATTAAAATTTTTAACACAACTTTGATCGAAGATATTTAGGCATCCACTTGAACAAATTCTATGAAATTTTTTTTTATTGGAATTCTACAGATCTATAGAATTCGAATATAAAAATTTTCATCGGACTTGGTCGAGTAGATACCGAGATATCTTTGGTCAAAGTTTGAGAATATTATACAAAAGCTGTGCCAAAATTTTAACAACTTTGATCGAAGGTATCTCGGCACTCACTTGATCAAATGCTATGAAAAATTTTAAGCTTGATAGCTGTAGATATGGTTTTGAGTTATACAACTTTGCAAGATAGGAAAAGCTTTTTTTATTTGAATTCTATGTTCTATAGAAAATTTTCTTCGAAATTGATCGAGTAGGTATCGAGATATTACCTATTATATATATATAATCTTTAACGCAGCATTTATTGAAGATATCTTGGCACCCACTTGTTCAAATTTTTTTATTCGAATTCTATTGAATTTGATCATGTGATTGCCGAAATTACACAATATCGATTTGTCACGTTAAGTGGCGTTGTGCCATCATATGATTCAGCTAACTTCATTCCCAGAAACTTTGCCGAAGGTGTCACCTATACTATATTTTATCCCCGCAAAATTTTTTGGCCCTTTATCTAGGTCGATAACGCGTCTAATCAATCTTCCATTCATCTTCTCCACTCTTGACGCATTTCATTAGACATATAATTTTATTATAACGAGAACCTTCAAATATTTGCTAGTGCGGGTGGCCCGACGGCCGGGTCGGTCGATATAACGATAAGAAGTGTTAGAATAGATTCTCTTCTAATGCATGTTTCAAACTAAGATTAATTAAAAATCGACTAGTCTTTATAACCATGTAAATATTCTTTAATTGGGATAAATTGGTAAATAACAAATATAAAATATGGTAAGGAACGAAAATTTTGGGTATGTTCGGGTGTATAGATAATTAATCAGCATATGTGCTATAAAAATCCATCTAACTGTTAATGTAATGTGTTTAAATGATCTAATCAGGTCATCATTAAGTTTTGGCAAGGAACTCCTGATGGCCTTTTACACGTTTGATCTAGGATCGACTCGGCTCATTATTTTTTTCATCGGCCCGTATTACACATTTCATAAATTCTGGACATCTGAAAAAATTGCCGATGATCGAATCGATAAGTTTCTGAGTTCGGCCGAGTCGGTTACTTAGCGATTCCGACTTGGTAACTTATCGATTCGGTCATAGGAAATTGTTCCAAAATTTATGAAAACAGCTGTAATAGCCAAATTTTTTCTGGGGTATTTCGTAAATTCGCCGCCGATCCGTAGTCTCAACCATCCCTTTTTTTCGACTAGTGATGTAAACTTAACGGGTTTACGAATTTTCCCTACCACTTCACTATCAGAATTGATTAATAGCACAGATACTCCGATATGTTAATAATTAGTAGAACCAATCAGAAGTGGTGGGGAAATTAGTAAACTTACAAAATATTATATTTTATCATACTGTAATAAATCTTTGTTTAACTGTTTAACTTGAAACTAACAGTCAATTACAAGTTAATAAGTTTGCACATAAGTGAATAGACTAATGTTAACATGTTAAAATATAAAATAGAATTTAGAATTGATTGTCAAATACTTATGATTCGATACAAATATGTTAAAATCCAGAAACAGCTATATTGACTTAAATTCGAAACACTTGTAAAGGCCAATTACGTCGGATATTATATAACCTCTATCGACCTCAACAACATGATCAAAGCAGCACAAGCATGGCACGGGCAATAGCGATAGCAAGAAAAGACCGTCTCAGTATTGCAAAACCTTTTATTCTTTTATATTGAATTTGGAAGCAGATCTAATTCAAAAAAAACGAGCGTTAAATAATCCGAAGTGATGTTGCGCCTGCATGGGACCATCACCGACATGGGACATCGTCCGGGGCTCCATGTATAACGATAATAACACCGCCTTACGTACTTCATTGATATCTCTATTTTTAGTACAGATTTTATGTACAATCATTAACAATAAAGAACCTGGTAGTTTTTATCTAAAACAAGTAAAGATGCATATAATGAATCCAAGTTATCTTGTCGATCAACTCTAATTACGAACTGTACGTACGACATGGATTTAGAACTTTCCGGACAATTTTAATGAGCATAGTGTGTGTAATTTAACGATAATGACATACGTTATACAACGTTTGTTTGTTCGTGCAAGTGTGGCTAACTTATCCTAGTTTGTACAATTTAATTATTGATTAAGTTCAGCCACACTCACCTTGTTATTTATCGTATTCGCTTTCATTTATTACACTTGTTATTAATATTGTTTATTTAATATAGATCTTAATTTTGTTTTAGCGATCTATTTGAAAGGACAAGATCCATGTTCAGTAGTATGTTTTAGTCCATAAGATCTGTATACTTGTGTTATTACTACCATTCCTGTTTGACATTTATTCAACCATGAAAAACATATTATTTAATAAAGAGAAATCAAAAAAAAAACAACCTGCCGAATTAAAAGGCACTCCTCGCTATGAAAATATAAGACCTCCCTTACCGTCCCCTGGTAATTCCTTTAGCAACAATTATAATCCAGCCCAACAAAATCATCAACACCCATTTTATCCTGATCATTATTCTTCGCAACCACATACTCAACCGTCTTCAATAACGACTCATGAGAATTACAGTAATCCTCATTCGAGAAATTCCTCAGTAGATTATACTCCTTCACTTAGTCATTCCATTTTTAGTGAAACTTCGGGGTCAGCACGGAGTATTGATTCTGCTAGAACATCTGCTGCTTTTTTGCCGGCTGATATACCGTTTATAAGCGGATATCACAGAAATGATAAAAGCGAACCTCATAGGCCTTCTGATGAAGAGGTTGAACGTTTGTTCTTGCAAATGATGGTATAGCTGGTCTTCTCTCATATGTCACTATCGTTTGGCAGTAAATCGATCAATGATGTGTTGTTAACATCCAATTTTTATATGTTAGAGAAAATTAGATTTAGGAAATCTCTCTGAGGCAATGCTGGCCATGCCAATCGAAAATAAATGGACGTTGATAAAAAATAATATGATAACAGAGGTTGAAATTTCTTTTCTTTTATAATATTTGTGATAATCAAGCGAATTTTATTTTTATTTTTATTTTTATATTATAGAAAACAAATTCTACTAATCCGAATTTCAATCCAGTTATAAACTCTGTTAATCCAACTACTCCAGAATATTATCTTAAAAAAATAATGGACGGTACTATAACTATTAAACTCATGAACTCACTCAGTGTTTCTCTAAGAACATCGCCCATAACGTGAGAAATCAATACTGTATTATTATTTTTTTTTGTGATTAATGCATTTATGCATTTAAATTTATATGAACTCTTTTTATGAACAAAGGTGGGTTCGGTCTTTCATTGACGCCAAAGGTCTGGAGGTTCTTGCCAATTACCTTAGCAGTATTACAAAAAAACATGCAAAGTACGTACAATATTTTTATCCTTATAATTATTTGATTTTTTTTTTTTTTTTTGTGCATTTATTTTAGTAATGTCATTTTAATAATTTTTATCGTCGTAAATATTTATTTTAAATATTTATTTTAATTTAGGCTGGAAAATGATTTACAAATGGAACACGAAATTATTAAATGTTTAAAATCACTGTTAAACAACAGAGTAAGTCCAAATAAATGATTTTTATCATATAATTGCATAATTGGATCTTGTTTTAATTCATTTAATTTATATTTAATTTATATTTCAGTGGGGTGCTCAAGAAGCTCTGACGCATCCATCATGCATTCATAGTATCACATTTTCACTTGTTTCCCCTCAATTAAGCACCCGCAAGCTTGTGGCCGAAGTTCTTTCTTTCTTTTGCTATTGTGAAATTCCTACTGGTCACACTGTTGTATTAGAAGGATTTGATCAGCATCAGCGATTTCTTAATGAGCATGGAAGATTTGACGCATGGATGAGAGTACTGGAAAATACGATTGATGGGCGTGGACGATATGGAAGTTTGGTAGATGCAAGCGATGAATTTAAAAAAGGGGGTGTGGGAATGGATAATTCGTTGATGGAATATGTGGTAAGTTCTATTTTTCGTGCATCCTTTACATATACTTTTTTTCTCTGAGGTATAATTTTATGTTTCACCTCTTCAATAGTTAGCGAATATGATTTTAGTAAATTCAATAATTGGTGTATGTGATGACGTTGAAATTCGAGTACATTTGAGAAACCAGCTACACGCATGTGGGTTAACGCGTATAATTGAGGTAAGCATAACTTTTTAATTTCACTGTAAATGTAGTAAATTATCTTATTCCGAATCTTAATCGACTAAAAAATGATTTGATATTCAGAAAATGAAAGCATTTAATCATGAGCTTATTAATCGTCAAATAAACAAGTTTGAACGTGAGAGTGAATTGGATTATGAAGAAGTCTTGGATTATTATAATCATCGAATTTTACAGGACATGACATATCCTTTATTATCTATTATTCTTGTTGGTTTTATTGCATTGAATTTTTATTTTATCCCTTAATTTATTTTAATACTGATCCACGTGATGTTTTTGAGTGTATACTTGCTTCAGTGCAAGGGACACGTGCATATGATTTTTTCCTGTCGGCCATGCAACATTTGTTACTTATTCGTGATGTTGGTGAAGCTAGGTTTGGTTCTCTACTTTAAAAAAGTTAGTAAGAACAGTAAAGCTAAGGATACTAACATGAAGATATATATTGTAGGACGAAATATTTCCAGCTTATTGATTCCTTGATCACTCAGGTTGTTCTTGATCGTCATGGGCTTGACCAAGATTGGAGTCAGTCTGTGGGTCTCACCGTTTCACAGGTCCTTGCTAAAATGGCTGATCAAGATAAACTTAACGATGCCCTTGAAGAAGCAGAGAAAGCTAATGCTGCGTTAGCAAAAGCTTTACGTGATAAAGAAGAGTTAATGTTAAAACAGGAAATGTCTTCTGACTCAGGTAGCTTATACTATATT